AGAAAAGGGGTTTGGAACTTGGGCTCCGGGGCAGGTCGGGCTTTAAAAATGTCAAAAACTGTTAGCTCTATTGCGCAAGACCATCCTTAAGCTATATCGCCCAGTTAGAGTTTTTCTCCAAACATTTCAGGCATGCTGCTTTATTTTCTTCTATAGCGACATGTTTCCAAAAATAGGAAAAACACATGAGATGGAAGTTGCAGGCCCGAATTTGTACAAAGTAGTCGCCTAAATCGGAGAGCGCTCTTTGAGACACTCGTTGATTATGTAGGACATTAAACAACGCAATCAGGAAAAAAACTTTCATTTCTTCCACCGCGACAAACGGTACTTATTTTTTACACCCATATCATAGAACACGCTAGTTAATTTGAATCTCTTAACCACAACAATGCCCAACCAACGGGAACATGGCGCGCTCGGTCTTTACACTGACACTGACACCACAGTGACACTGCTCACACTGAGCCTGTGCCAAGGGCGGCAACTTTACCGAGCTATTATAGCGTAAGAAGAAACCTTTAAAAATGAATATGCACTAGGTAAATGAGGAGGGTTTACCACAACTCTCTTTGTTTCAAACTCAAAAACGACTTTAACGCGTAATTCCCATAGATGGCGAAATGCTACGGATGACCTGTGCGCTGGCGTCGCTTCCGGAAGCATGAGCTGATCTCACCTGTCGACCCTGGGCTTCTCCTCTGGGAGAGGGCCGGTCCGGCTCGCGGGTCATTCGTACCGGCATTGCGCCGTTGTGGCCTGTTTCCTGTCCCGAAGACAGGGCACTGACCGCGCAGGTGGCGTGGGCTCGGCCGATGGCCTACTACAAAATCGGACCGGAGACCCGAATAATGTGTCGGAGGAGACCAGCGTGACCTCATTCCGTGAACTCATGAACTCTGGCAGTTATCACGTCTCTCCTCGTTTCTCACCGGCAAGAAGACAGGGATGGGAGAAAAGAGAGCGAAAACAAACACGAATCTACGGATGGAAAGCCAAACATGACGGCTTGTGTGTAGCCACACCTCGCATGCCATGGTTTTTGTGAACCACATTTGAGGGCTCAGCGTATTTCTGCGGTTTCCGGGAATAAGCTGACAGCGTGCGCGCTCAGTGGCATGTTACCAAGTACGACCCAGATGTTTGTAGAGATCCCATCGCATTCACTTCTTTCATTATCTGAAATATTTGGCTGGTCGTGAAATGGTTGAACAATGAATTGGTGTATCTACACCGAGTGTTGTCAGAACACATTCTGCTGCTGAAGTAACCAGTTTGTTCAACCAAAAAAGCAAAAATGACATAACGCTAAAAAAGATAAATTAACCAAATTTCCACTTCTGATTCTTATCATACCCATCACCGCTCAAAGCTGGACAGAAGTTCGACAAGGCGCATAACCCCGTGCGGATGTGACAATTTTTATGGACGTACGTGTGTGCGGAATGGTGGTAGCCTTCCGCACTTGGGTCAAAGGATATGTATGACTAAGTTATCGACCCCCCCCCCCCCCCTATATCTCCAGTTTGCCTCTGTTTCGGTTCATTTCATTTATCAGGGCCAGAGATATCACGTTTCACGTAACTCATCCGAGCCGCATATCCCCGGCAGGCACCCTTAATATCTATAGGCACTCACCAGGTCGGTACCATGAGGCTCATGACCGCGATTCATGTCGTGAACAAGCCAGTTTGGATATTCCTGGAATAGCATGACCCCTACTTTTATCCTTGTGGAACATCAGCGGCTATCTTTAGTCAGTGGTGTGACCACCTCCCGTGATGGCCGCCCCGAGGTCTGTGGGTCGCCGGACCGGTCTGCGACCTCATTCGCCGGCGCTGCAGTTCGCCGAGGGGTCGGCTTCAGGAGGTGCTCTAATTTTCGGAATTCCGACTCGCCTCAGTTCGCCGCCACACTCCCACTGGAACAACGACTGACACCTAGGGATCTTCACGATTCTTTAACCTTCACACTGATAGGGTGGGGGTGGTGGTGGTAGGGGGTTGATGTGACATGCCATGTGGGTTTTTTGAGCATGCCTTTCCGGCGTACCGTGTCATTGCACCCGCATGTAGCCTATGGGGCATCCATTTGTGTGGCTTGATGCCCAAAAGGTGACGCTATTTTTCGGGTTCCGGAGCAACGGCGTTTTTTAGGAATACTGCGCGGCGATCTGAGGCCTGGGCGGACGGCGGGCGGCAGCCGGAAATGCCGCGGAACGCCTCAGGTGGGCCGCGGCATTTGTTATATTAACGGAGTCCTACATCAGAAACTGATGGCAAAACAACCCAATTATGTGCCGTTGTGTCAGACATTGAGCAAATAGCACGCCTGTATTGGTTTAGCGTCGCTACGAGGCATGGTCTCTTACATATGAGCGTGTAAAACGGAATAAGCTTGATTTTTGGGAAAATCCGTCTTTGGGCCGGCATAACGTAATCAATTATTTACCTAACAATATAAAACCTACCACTTGCCATGTGTCCCCGATAAGACCAATCAACCAGTTGTTTTTTTATGAGCTTCGTCTCTCCTTTCAGTTCCCGTTATGAAAAACAGCGAAACAGGGAGATGGTTAGGGCTTATTGGCATTAGACACATCTGCGTATCAGGGGTAAGTGGTAGGATATGTGCTTGCCCCCAAACTTTAAGACTGGGGTACGTTTTGCAGCGACTTCCGCTCCCCAAAGTTGATGAGGCTTGTCTTCAAGCTTAATACCGAAAATCGAAATGATTTTCTTGCAGTATTAGTAAAATAGAAGCAAGAATGGATATGGAAAATGGAAGAGGAAATGGATACCCTAACAACATGGAAACCAGATGGCACTTGTCTTCATAGAACTCAGCACCATTTGCGGCACAGTTGATTCCGACGTTTTTGTTTCTGTTTCATTCATTGATACAAGTGTAGCTTTTGGTGAGATGGGCATAACATTTAAGTTTCGTAAAAGTTGGCAGCTTTGCGTGTTGTTAAAACCGCATAGTGTCATTGATGAATAAGTGGCGCGTTATTTTGGTTCCATCGAAACCTATTACCTTTATCATTATGTACAGCATACGCATTACAGCAGGGAGACGGATATAGGCATAGGTATCTGCCACGGCTACTGGCGTATGGGTAGATCAAAGGCTTCATCATGGAGAAATCACCCAGCATGGGTTAGTCAAGTTGCCGACGGTTTCGATTCATACCCAGTTAGATATTCACGACTTGGACCTGATACGGATCCCGTAATAGATCTTGATGGCTCATCTTTTGTGCCCATCGTGGTGAGTAGATCAACGTCAATCTTCACACAACTGTTTTGACGACAATCGAAGGAGTCGGTTTTAATCAAGGTGACCGCACAAACTCCACTACATCTCCGTTCATCAGCATTATAAGTAGGGCCTAAGGGAAGCTGCGTCCTGTCTTTGTTCTTCACCTATTGTGATCAGAAGGAGCAATCACGAGCGAAAGCCGCGAACAACTCGAGGGGTCAAAGATGGGTGGCACATAGGCATACCCAGCTTCCCGGGATATTTCAAGGGCCATTTTCATTCATACCAGACGAAGCATTACAGCAGCCAGAAGTGCAGGGGGGAAGGAAATACTGAGCATGAGAAGGGAAAATAATGCGGGATCACTGCATTTAGAACTTGTGGTTAAGGCAGGAGTTACCTACAGGTGTTGTAGATAATGGCCAAGCCTAAGTGCCTAAGTCAATGTAGGCACTTATTATCGTATTCTTATATCTCATGTACACAAACCTTATTCAATTCACCCATATGCTTCATACTATATAGCATACACTACTATAACCTAATACTATATACCACGTGTCATATTATCTTTATTTTGCGTGTTTAATGATAGCACGATTTTCTCCTTGAGGTATTGTGATCGTGGAAAGAGGCGTCACGGGTCTGAGGATATGGACATCGAAACATGTTGATGAGGCACGGTTTTCTTTCTCATCGTAGATAAATAGTGATATGTGATCGAAATATTCATGTGAAAAGGAATATTGTACAATAACTACGAAAATTGTACGCATAAAAGGTAAATAGATCCAACAGTATGCCTCATATTGTTTATTTTTGACTCTCACACCGGGCACGTGTTAAAGACGGTGATAAATGTTACAGGAGATGAGGTTGTCAAGTTATACTTCGCTTTCCCACCCACTCATCCCCCCCCGCCCCTCCCTCCTCGAAATAATTCCTATGCTCCTGGCATGGTCATGGTTTGTGTCAGTAGCAGATGAAAGCTCACTGAAAACAATACGTTTTGTAGCAGACATTTGCTTTGATGCAGGTTCTATCACGGGAAATGTTTCAGATCACCCATCCTAGAATAATTTTTTAAAGAACTAACGTTGGGTACATGTATGCTTCAAACTCCGTTGAGTGATTCTATCAAGGATACCTAGTCATGTTGCATACAACTCTCCTCGAATAGATTGGCAATTGGCTTTATACAGTTGGGAGCCTTTTTGCTGCTGTTAACGCTATTTCCACCGGAAAAGACGAAAGGGACCTTCGATTTTTTCAATTAGGCGCAACACCCTTCGTAACAAACGCACAAGCCTGCCCTGTGCGGGCTGTCGGCCTTAATCTGAACAGCGAATTGGGTGACAAGTAATTCTCTTTTTACAGTTAGCACTGATTTGAAGCGTCTTTATGTGTAGAGACCAATACAAATTGACGCCCTTTGATTAAAAACGTATCCTGTTTTGTGATCTTATGGCTGGACATCAATGGCGTCTTGTTATGCCTTCTTGTAACGTCTGTTTTCCACAAGCAGTTTATTTTTTAACAAGCGCTATAAAAAGGGAAATAGCTCCCTGGAACTTAACCGGTTTATGTGATAAACAGCCTACACTCGGTCTGTGGGGCAAAAGCTCAGATGCACCTGAATTAATCACATCTGGACCGGCTCTTCGACTGTTCATTGATCTATGTATTTGTTGTGGTCTGGAGGTGGTATTGTTGAGGCAGCTGACACTTGATGCCCGCAGGCGTCTTGCTGCTCCGTCCCTGGAGGCCATGGTACCCGTCTGACCTGGACCAAGGCCAGCGGGTGGCTGTCCTGGCAGGAGGACAGGTCCTCAAAGGCGACATCAGCCATGTATGGACTGCCGGGGGCCAAACGATGGTCAGCGTTGAGACAGACAGGTACATATCCACTTCTTGGCGAAATTTACGTCATGCGTAATCGCACGTCCTGTTAAATTAGGACGTACATGTTGTTATATTCGAATCCCATTGCAATCGAGACCATGTTAATGAGCGAGTAAATTCACTGTGTCATTTATACCAAGGCTAATAATGGTACAGGACATCCATTTAAACCACGTATACACGGACATGAGTGATGCTTAACCGTTAGTTGGGTCCATGTTTTAATCCGGCATTTGCTGGCGTTTTTGCCGCGTTCCATTTGATGGGAGGGGGCTCTGGATATCTCCAAAACTATTCAATAGATCCAGCTCATGATCAACTGACACAACCGGGATGACGATATGGATGACGCAACACATACATTTATCTACACAACGTTTGCTATATATATATATATATATATATATATATATATATATATATACATATAGATAAGCCAAATAGAACTTTTCACGTATCGGTATCTGGTTTGAGCAATTAAACGCCCAGTCAATTAATCCCCATTAGGAAGAAGCAAACGCTCCTGCGCACGTGTGGCCCACTTCATTTCAGTTGGGCTGATCCGTAATATGTTAACTCAGATTACCATCTGTGCTGGAGCTAGACCTTAACCACAGGCTGAATACGTAAACTACTTTATTTTGGCAGTAGCGCGTGGTGTATATTCCCCTTCGTTTTTACCAACTCTCTGTCATTAACTTCCCCTCTGCCCCCGCTACCCTCCCCGCCCCTTCCGTGCCCGCTACCCTTCTACCCCTCTTCCATTCCCGCTGCCCCTCCCCTTTCCCTTCTCCACCCTGCGGCCCCATGCTTATGATATTGGAGCTCCAAGCAAGGATGTAGAAAGCGGAATTGTGACATGTCGTTTGGGCGTCGCACTGTTTTAAATCAGTTGCCTTTACACAACATCCATGAATCTAATGTTAAAGCTCAGAAGCCTCTGAAGCGCTGGGCTCTCCCGTGAATGCAGGGTAGCCCCCATGCGCAGCCTAGAAGAGTGCAGGCGGCACATCTTCATTTTCTTACACAAGACAGGGCTCAGCCTCTGCCCATTCCCGCTCCCCCGTATACTTCAAGTCGGTGCTGTACGTAAGAACCGTTCCGTCTAGTTCAGTTCAGTCTCCGGTTAATGGCACTCATATAAAGCTATTAGTTCTTGGGACACACGGCTGTTGTAGGCGAACATGTCCTGCCTGGCACACAGACAGTCGCCAGGGTCGTTAAACTCACCGACCATAGTCGCTTACCTGCCTAGCCTTGGCTGTCATTGACCGCTGGAACATTCAACTCTCGCGCACGGCCCATCTCCCGCTCGATACTGCACCAGAAATAATTTTTGAAAACCGAATCTCAAGAGAAAAAGTAAAGAAAGATGAATTTTGATCGTCCTGAAATGCTGGTTGTTTGTTATAATGAGTTTGTGCAGAATTTATTTTAATTATAAATGTTCTTTTTAACACATGCTTTAGAATGATAATATTTGTTAGATTTATTTACTTAACGAAATAACAATGGCATCATGATTTACGACGCCAGGTTTGAAGGTGTGGACGGTTTCAGCCGTTGGCACCAGAAGTGGAAACATCAGATTGGAAAACAGCTCTTAAGGTCGGCTGAATAGGGTGATGTGTGTTCCACTGTTCAACTGTTGCATGCAACAAATGTGACGAATTCATGACGGATGACATTATGTCTTCTACTTTCATGATTTCAAACAATATCGCGGGACAATTCTGCGCAATGGGAGCAAGAAAAGGAGCGTGCTTTCAAAGTGAAAGCTGAACACCAGTAAAATGTTTTTGTTGTCACTGTTTGCAAGCGTTTACAGGGCAATGCACTGCATCCCTAGTAATCATCTGGTTACATGGTCGGTTGCTATGAGATATATTTTTGCCATGAAGTTTGAGCAGGAGGGGATTCGGGATGCTTAAAAATGTTACGACTGATGAGATAAAACGTGTTTGAGATAAAAGTCTGAATTGTAGTATTCGTTTTTGTCGTGCAAGTTAAGTCGACATGTGTTTTTGGCTTAAAGCAATGCATTCACCTTTTTAGAATTTCTGTCGGCTATACTTTATAGCTCTCGTGCGTCCATGTGGCTCCGGGTTTTACCGGTTTGTCGCAGAATATTGACGAATGGCGCCTGTCTGGTGAGAGAGAGAGAGAGAGATAGAGATAGAAAGACAGAGAGAGGGGAGGGGGAGAGAGAGAGAGAGAGAGAGAGAGAGAGAGAGAGAGAGAGAGAGAGAGAGAGAGAGAGAGAGAGAGAGAGAGAGAGAGAGAGAGAGAGAGAGAGAGAGAGAGAGAGAGAGAGAGAGAGAGAGAGAGAGAGAGAGAGAGAGAGATGTCCGCGCGGCTGTCGTCGGGGTCGGTGGCCCGGTGGTGTTCAGCGATGGCGACTTGCCCGCGGCCACTCTTCAAAGGAGCGGCGGAGTATAGTCCACTGGTCCCACCCGATGACAACCTAAGAATGACCCGGCTGGCCGCGACTGATAGGCCCGTGATGGCGCCTTGTGACGTCAGAGGGTGACAGAGGGACGGCGTCGGTTTCAGATGGGGAGGCATGACGGTACCGTTCGAGAAGGTGCTGATGGTTTGGTGACCTCAGTGCTCACCGCCCGACCATGTCGGAGATGGTGACGGTCTGCCAGCCACGTCTGAGATGGTGACGGTCTGCCAGCCACGTCTGAGATGGCGACGGTCTGCCAGCCACGTCGGAGATGGTGACGGTCTGCCAGCCACGTCGGAGATGGTGACGGTCTGCCAGCCACGTCGGAGATGGTGACGGTCTGCCAGCCACGTCGGAGATGGTGACGGCCTGCCAGCCACGTCTGAGGAGCCTGCCGGAGGGTCAAGCCTGCACTCAGACTGATACCAGCCCGCCATATCTGAGGAGCCTGTCAGAGGGTCCAGCCTGCACTGCACCATGCGGCATCTGAAGTCGCTTCAGCAGTCTGAAGGAACTTTCAGAGCCGAGCACATGGTACGTAAGTATGGTGCCTATATGTGCGCGTGTCGCTGTTTCCATACAGTCGTCGCGAGCCGCCACAAACTAAGATGGCCGTATCCTGAGTTTTGGAGCCGTCTGGACCCACAAATACACTGCCATCTCACCGGTGTCCGTCAAATGGAAATCCTGTCTGACTCCGAACAATGCGTGAACAGAAACGCGCGTTGCCCACACCAGAGACGGGGATGAGGGACAAGGGCGCAATCAACACATAATAGGACGGAGACGAGGGATACGGGCGCGGTTAACACATGATCTGTCGGAGACGAGGGATACGGGCGCCGTTAACACAGGATCTGTCAGGGAGGAGGGATACGGGCGCGGTTAACACATGATCTGTCGGAGACGAGGGATACGGGCGCCGTTAACACAGGATCTGTCAGGGAGGAAGGATACGGGCGCGGTTAACACATGATCTGTCGGAGACGAGGGATACGGGCGCCGTTAACACAGGATCTGTCAGGGAGGAGGGATACGGGCGCGGTTAACACAGGATCTAAGACGGAGTTGCCGTGCGCTTGTATAGGTTATCACGAACTGAGCGTGGGCTGTGCAAGAACTGCCGATGTCAAGGTGGCGGAAAGTTACAGTTGTGTCACCTAAAAACCCCTAGCAGAGCTGAAAAAGGATTATTCCCGTATCAACCAGCGACGGTGGTGGGGAGTTCTAGAACGTTTTTGTGCCAAGAACAGGCCTGCCGTTGGCCAGTACGGTCCGGAGCCAATGCATATAAAACAACGAAGCTAGGCAATTGTACCGTCGCCTGCCATTGGCCACAGTTTGTGTAAGGTACTAAGATGTCGTGCGCTCCTCCTCACGGAGTCTTCTCAATAGAGGTCGTGTTGAATGGGATTGTGCTCAGAATACTTTTTTTCCTTATTCCGAATGTCTTGGAACTAGAAGAAAATTCCTGATTCTAAAAACGTAGTTCATACCCAGCAAATACCAAATAGCTGAAATGTACACGTTTTTACGTTATGTCTATGATGTTGACGATATTGACTAAAATGCCATCATACTGAAAGAGACATCAGGTGTTGCTCATCTCACATTAGCCCGTGTGAATACAAACACTTGGAACTGATGTCACATAAATCGAGGACAACTCGTAACAACGAAAGAAGTCAACATGGAGTCAGGTAGCATTGCGCAAAATTCGACCTGTTTAACTCAACAACGCATTTTGGTAGGCTTAATCCCTTCAAATAACTTTCAAATCAACATTGCAAGCTCTGAATGAACGAATTCGGAGCTATCGGAATTGAGAAGAAAATATTGATTTGTGCCGCCACGAAGCCGTGCATTTGGTGTGATTTAATGTGAGAGGGCTAATCGTAGCTCAGATTGTCCTCTGAAAATGTGGCCGTTAAGACCGAATGTGCTAACAAACCATCACGAATCACCACCTGTCGTGCAAATTGCACATTGTCATGTTGTAGATGACGCCGATCCGTCGGTCTGATGGCAGCTAATTGCCAAGGACCGTGCGACAAAGCATTATTGTTCGCAGTAATTGGGCGTGATCGCTGTAATCGTGTAACAGTAGCAAGCTGATCATATAGACTCGGGCCTAGCAAGTGACTCATGTAACAGAAGGCTGAATCTGTAACAATCTTAGTGGGTTCTCTCACCCAGCGCAGCACCAACTTCACTATCAAATTTCATACTCCACTTCAAAATGGTGCCAAGGTTATCAAGTGCTTAGAATCTACTTGGCACAGTGCCAGGTCTTTGATGTATGGATCCCGAGATGTATCCGAATGTCTTTTAGAGTTACATTTAATATTAGAATGTGTATTGCACCGTAGCAACACTATAAAGGTGCCTAAATTTGGCCACCTCATATATTTTGTAGTCCGTTAAGCGGCATTGATAGAAATATGAGGGAAGAATTAACTAAATCAATGGCTATTTTAGGCAAGTTTTCGTCACCGTCGTCAGTCGTCATCGTGCCGACTTCGCATAATTTCCCCTCTTATAGGAAGTGTTTTACATCGGTATGGGGCTTTGAACTGAGATGACCAATTTGAAGATCACCCAGTGCCGTTCAAGGCCCTGCCCTTCCTAAGACTTAAAATCCTCTGGTTTTTTAGCTAGACGTCCGCGATCTGACTCGTGCAGACTATTCCATGGTCCCCCAGACATGCATGACGTCATAGAAAACGTCGCGCAAATGCTGCCACCCCAATGGTTAAACGGTGTTTAAGGACAAGAGGAATTTTATTGTCGAGTTATTCGTGCCTGGTGCACATCAGCATGATTTCTGTCGCCAACGAAGTTGAATTGGTTATAAGGCAACGTTGTGCTAGCAGCGCTAGTTTCGAACACGAATCACGCATTGTACTATATAATGCAGGAAGTTGGACAGTGGTACCAGTTATGACGGAAATTGACTGGCAATTCAGTTTCAGAATGGCGCTATAACCGAGCGTGTGAATGCAAGTCAGCGATAAAGAATCACGGATGAACATGCAGGAACACCACAAGAAAGTATCAAAACCTGCGTCTTTACCGACATTCGCGTTCTGCTAGCATAATCGACAGCAAGGCCCTGCTCGAGAAGTGTAGGTATTACAAGTGAGCCAGCCGCTCCGCTACGACAGAACCGCAATCAGACAATGCCATATTGAGGAGCGCATTTCCTAAGAAGTGAGTTTTGGTTTTCGTGAGCAGTTTTTGTACTTAAGAACATACAAATGGTTACGTTTGGGACCATTTCATTTTGTCTGATGATTGCCTCAATATGCTTTGATGTGGAACATTCCATTTTATATTTGATCACCAAAGTAACACGCTTGGTATTTTATTTTTCACATGGAAAATAACGTTCGAGGATATAGGTGTCCTTAGGTCTCTCCTATAGTTCAAAAGATCACCCTTTTCCCATATTTTGACATCCTGTTACCAAAATTGGACGCTTGCCTACAAACATTCCTGCGATGCCGATGAACTCATAATCCCTAGGATTGTTTTACAAACTGGTACGAGAAAGGCTGCAGCATGCTTAATTGTACGGGTGACTAGCACTTGTCATTATGAATTAGGAGTTTCTTTTCCTTTTTTGAAAATGATCGACCACCAGCGAACTAGGAAGTGCTGGTTAGACGACGTTATCAAGCAAGCACTGGTTGGTTGTGAACTCCCGCTCGATACTATTGATACCAGTGCCCTCTGCTTCTGGTCACGTGCTACGTCTGGACTGTGCTCTGGCCCATTAAAATAGCATGTGAAGAAACTGCATCAAATTTAAAGCATATTGGCCACACTTTGAAGCAAGAGACAGAGGGTTTAACGTTTGACGCTCTCTGCAGGTGTCATACCCTGCAGAAAATCGTACGACTGCCGAAACGGGAAGACGCATTAGGATACGGTCCAAACTTTTGAGCAACTATCTCAAGCAGAAATGAGGATAGGGTGGAATCTTGGTGCAACAGCGGAATGGTAAAACATCGATTTAAACTGAAGCAGGGTGACTGGCCGTGCAAGAGCAGCCCAATGACGGTCGACGGATCGTGCATGGTACGGAAAAGGTTCTGGCAGAACTGGCAGGGCAGGACTCCCCTTTTGCTCATCAGTAATCCATTCGTTCCGCATCAGCTGGGCGTAGCTACGCCTCCGCCGCGGTGTTATCCACCGTTATATCAATACCATTTATTCGGTTATTTCGAGTGTCATGAATATCGGACGTCACGCATCCAACGTGATCGCAACTGGCTTGGGTACGAAATGTCCTCGAAACCTGACGCACCAGTGTAGAGCAAAACTCATCGATGAAACCAATGCTCTCGTGAACTCGCCCCCGATGTGGCGCATACTCATCGAACAAACTTCTCGCAATCTTAATAGCGAGATGTGTTGAGAAAAATCCTGGTAAAACAGATGCATGAGTCAGGACAGCGCAGCAACACTCTTTTGTATGGGGTTCAAGAGCATTTTTCGCAAAGCCCGACTCATTTAAGCTCAAGGAATCAAAGTGAGGCAGCTGTCACGGTGGCTGGTACACAACATGACCGTTTTATGAGTATATGATGCTTCATCACATTCGTGTCTTCGTGTCTATACCTACATACATATATACATTGATGATCACAACTATGCTCTGCCACATAATCAACACTTCAGTACATCACGATCGCTACATCACCCCATATCCAACACAAACACTGCGAGGGGCATGCCACTAAATTGAAATGCCTCATGTCGATATCTTCTGCCACGCGGACCAAATGACTAAAAACCAGCTCATCCCTTTCACGTGTTCACCAAATTTTTACTCGGGTCATCTAAGCGTGCTTCCTTCTGACCTCGGGTTGACCTGTCCCAGGTGTCCGGTCCGTTCTTGACCAGCAGGATCTCGTATAGCAGGCTGACGGGCCGCTCCACGCCCGGGAACATGTACCGTTGCCACACCACCTTGTTGTACTCCCAGTGGACTACGTTAAATCCTAGCTGCTGCAAAGATCGAACTGAACGTTCCGCTCTTTGGTAGAACTCAATAGCTAGCCGAGGATCTAGCCGATAGTGAATCTCGAAGCCGATCTGCTCCACCTTGTCCAACACGAAGTCGCCTTTGCCGTCGAGCAGTTGTTGTGACAGCATACTGAATTCGCTCCCTTCCACATCCATCTTGAGGTAATGAATGGTGCGACCTTCGTGGCCCAGCATCTTCACAATCTCATCCAGTGTGTGGATCTTCCAGCCGTACACGTTGGTGTGGTTGTTCCTTCCGATGCCGATGTGGTGGAACGTGATGCCCGGGGAGCGTGGACCCTCGGGATAGTCAATGGTGGGGTCGAACGAGTGCACCTCGCAGCCGAACCGCTCCATGGCCTCGTCGAAGCTCCAGTCGTAGTTGATGCCGAAAGAGTAGACCGAGACAGTTGTCTGTTGCAGCTAGCTGGAGCGGCTGGTCCAGACAGGCGTACTTGTCTCCGTCCTCCAGACAGCCGACAGCCGCTGGCCAGGCCTCCGAACGTCAGCATCCGTTTGCAGGTGCTGGTGGGCGTCTCGGGCCAATCGTAGACGTACCGGAACATGGCCTTCTCCGCCTCCGTGAAGGTCCGCTGGTCAGCCGAGGACCGGTCTC